TGGCAATGTTTCTCTCCTTCGATTGGTAGATAAAAACATTAGCTTGGCTAGCAACAGACAAGCGACTTGGGCGCACTGCATTCCAGTTAGCCAGTAGACAGCAGCAATTTGACGTTACTCATGAGTGACAGTGCACGCCTTCCCCTCCCCCCACCCTCCTTTCCCCCTTCCCCTCCCCACCCCATCGTTTCCCCCTCCCCTCACCCTCTCCACCCAGCCGCCGCCACGCTTTCTTGATTTGGTGCAACTGCGTGGTCTGTGTTCGTGACCCCGTGGTGGATGTTGCACTTTGTTGTCCACGTGGTCACATGTTGGCACACGCTAGCCTCTCATGAGAGCCTCGTGGTCCAGAGCTTCAATACCATTCGTCGAAAAACGTCGCCGTTTTTGGCGTGGTATTTCATTGTGACCGTGGATCGCATGCCGGGCCTCCAAAGCCACTCCATCGATGCCGTCAAACTCGTCGGCGCTGGCTCGACCGCGTCGCGCTCGCCGAGCACAGGATAACTGTGATCGCATACGTCCTGTCTTCAACCATCTGCGACTGTTCCCCTTCATCGTCGGCCAATCTACCGCCTTGGCGCGCTCACGTTCGCCCCAAGAGTCATCCATGATGGCAGGCTCGACAGGTTCTAGTTTGGCACCGAACCAAGCATGCTTCGTTTGAACTTGTGGATGAGCTTCGGGGTTTTGTTTTGGGTGATGAACTAATGGCTCTGGTTCGGCCCGTAACGAGCTCCCTGGCTCGGCACCTTCGTTTACGTCTAGAAGGGTGGTTCGGAAGCCTTTCTGAGCCTACTGGGCACGGGGCTGAGCTAAGATATAATCTCAAGGCTGATAATTCCAGTTTTCATTTCTCTTCATAGCTCGGTTGTGCCTGGAGCAGCCATCATTTGCAGATCGTCTCGAGAACCAGTCACGTCAAGGGTGTTTTTCCGTCTTCTGCGCGGGTCCTTGGCGCTGTTAGTGCAGCCGCCATCATGGCGACTTACTCAGAGGTTACCACCGCCACTAACGGGCTGTACAGCTCCGTGTACAGTTTCATGTGCAGCGAGGATGACACGGCCATGCTGGCCGCGACCTTTCCGAACATGACGGTCGGCGAATCGGACTTCGCGAGCTTCTTCTGCAGCAAGCTCGATCTCATCGCGGCGCAGTTCCAATGGACGCAGCTCGCCGTCGACAACACGTACCTCCTCTTCTCCGCCTACCTCGTCTTCGCAATGCAAGTAAGTCATTGCGTCACCTGACCCCTACGACCTAATGCCATCGCCTAATGCCTCTTTCTAGGTTTCTATCATGTCTGAACTGTACATTGGACTTTAATCTGAACTTCACTGAACTTTTTCCCAACGGTTTTGTTTCGCAGCTTGGTTTCGCAATGCTGTGCGCGGGAACGGTGCGCGCGAAGAACACGATGAACATCATGCTCACCAACGTGCTCGACGCCTGCGTCGGAGGCCTTTCCTTCTATATCTTCGGCTTCGCCTTCGCTTTTGGCCAAGGAGGAACCAGGTACGTAACAGTTTCCTGGTCTTTCGTATCTCTTACGCGTGTGTGCGTTTTTTTTTAAGATAATTATTCTCTTTTTGTGGGCTGCAATTTCGTCCTTTCGCTGCTCTTTTCGCCTAATTGTCGAAGCCTTCCTTGTGTCGTTTCCTAACCTTACCTTCCTTCCCTCGTTCCTCCTGCTCCTTCGCGCAGTAACGCTTTCATCGGAGCGAATTACTTCGCCATGTCGGGCCTACCGGTGTACACGTCGTTCGACGCGCCAGGAATTAACTACATCTACGACTACAGCTTCTGGTTGTTCCAATGGGCCTTCGCCATCGCGTGCGCGGGCATCACGTCCGGCTCCATCGCGGAGCGCACGCAATTCACGGCGTACCTCGTCTACTCGACCTTCCTCACCGGCTTCGTCTACCCCGTCGTCGCTCACTGGATCTGGGCCACGGTATGCGCCCGCTACCTTGATGTATCAACGCCTGCCATTGTAACGAGGTGTCCTTTTGAGTCGACTCACATGTCGACTTTGAGGGTGTTTGCCTCGTCTCCAACCTCGTACCTCCGTTCGTCCCTTCCCCTGCTCTCCCCCCCCTCGCGCGCAGAACGGGTGGCTATCCGCGTTCAACACCAACAACCTCTTCCTCGACGTGGGCGCCGTCGACTTCGCGGGCAGCGGCGTGGTGCACATGGTGGGCGGCGTCGCGGGGCTGTGGGGCGCGCTCATCGAGGGTCCGCGCCTCGGCCGCTTCGACAAGGGCGGTCGGCCGCTCGAGATGAAGGGCCACTCCGCCACGCTCGTCGTGCTCGGTTCCTTCCTCCTTTGGTGAGCTCCAACGCTGTCTCACTTGGCCTTGGGTGTAATGATATGCCTGGACCGCGAGTCGGATGTTTTTCGTTTTGCGCATGTGTGTCTCTTTTTTTTTTTTTTTTTTTTTTTTTTTTTTTTCGTCTTTCTACTTCGATTCTTCTTTTGTATATTTCCCCACGGGTAGCTGTCCTTTTTTACATATATACACATATATATACATATATTTTTTTGCGTGTGCTCTGATTGGCTAACGAACTGGTTCCCATGGTACGGTTCGAACCCGACAGGTTCGGATGGTTCGGTTTCAACCCCGGGTCGTTCCTGCGCATCACCATCCCGTGGTCCGACGTGCTGGGTAACTGGTCGTGGGTTGGTCGCACCGCCGTCACCACCACGCTCTCGGGCTGCATGGCCGCCGTCAACACGCTCCTCGCCAAGCGACTCATGGCCGTAAGTGTTCCGTCCGAGTTGCTGTGGGGTTTGCTCCTCATCTCTGGGATGTTCATCATAACAAAGCGGTATTCAGGAGTTGGTATAACCTCACACAGGACCAATGTGTTCCTCCCACCCACGAGTCTGTCTGTATGCGCGTCTGTCCCACCCAGGCTACTTTCCGCCCCTTTTCGTTCCTTTTTTTTTCATTTTCTTTTCTTTTCTTTTCTTATTTGTATTTTTATTCGAACTTTTACTCGTATGTCTTGGTTCCTCTGAGTGCGGCTGCTGTGCGTTCCATCCAGCTTCTCATCTCTTATCGTTCCCCCTTTTTTATCTTAATTCCCTCCCTTGGGATTGGATTTCCTCTCCCGCAGGGCTGCTGGCACGTGACGGACGTGTGCAACGGTCTCTTGGGTGGCTTCGCGGCCATCACAGCGGGATGCTCCGTGGTGGAGCCCTGGGCCGCCATCCTCTGCGGCTTCGGTGCCAGCTGGACGCTCATCATTCTCAACATGATTTCCATGAAGATCCAGTTTGACGACCCGTTGGAAGCTACCCAGCTCCACTTTGGCTGCGGAGCATTTGGGCTCTTCTTTGTTGGTATGCACTCTCTCTACCCCTTGGACTCCCTCTCTGCCCCTGCTCCCTGTACGCTTCTCATTCTCAACATGAGATCCATGAAGATCCAGTTTGACGACCCGCTGGAAGCTACCCAGCTCCACTTTGGCTGTGGCGCCTTCGGACTCTTCTTAGTCGGTACGCTCTCGACTTCTTTCTTTCCCCCCCTCTCGCCCGCCTCCCCTCTCCCCCGGTGGGTAAGCTCGCTCTCTTTTCCGCTCCGTACATCCCCTTCAACATGCTATCCATGAAGATCCAGTTTCTCTTCCCCCTCCCCTTTTCCCTTGTTTCCCCACTTGACCCACTCGCTCTCTCTCCGGCTCTCTTCCCCTCACTCGCGCTCATCCAGCTCAACATACCTCTTTCTTCCCTCCCCTCTCGCCCGCCTTCCCCCTTCCCCCACATCCTCCCCCCCCCCACCCCGGTGGAGAAGCTGTTCTCTTTTCCCCTCCGTTCATCCTGCTCAACATTCCATCCATGAAGATCCAGTTTCTCTCCCCCCTCCCCTTTTCCCTTGTTTCCCCCCTCGGCCCCCCTCTTCCCAATCTCTCCTGACTCTCGTTAACTCGCTCTCTCTCTGGCTCTTCTTCCCCTCCCTCCCCTCCCTCCTCTGGTTCCCTCTGCTTTCTTCTTCCACACGCCTGCTGCTGCTGCGCTCTTGCCTGACTTAATTACCCAACTCTACTTCACCCCATCAATTTCCTCCAACTTATCTCATTACCCTTTTCCACCCCTTGTTTATCCCCGCAGGTCTGCTGGCCAAGAAGGAGTACCTGATGCAGGCATACGCCAAGCCCGACACCACCCCCTTCGGGCTCTTCTACGGCGGAGGCGGAAAACTCCTGGCCTGCCAGTGCCTCGAGATTATCTGCATCTTCGCGTGGGTGTCGGTGCTCATGGGCGCACTCTTTTTCATTCTGCACTCGCTGAATCTGCTGCGCGTTCCCCCCGATGAGGAAATCGCGGGAATGGACCTGACCAAGCACGGAGGTTCGGCATACAATACCGAGGCGCAGGACGGGCAGGGCGTGCAGTTGTACGGCCCGCCCGAGACCGGCGCTGCGAAGCCTGCGGAGGTTTGAGTTGGTGTTACGGATAAGCACTACATTTTGGAAGGTTATGCAGGATAGTAGTAAGTTAACCATGGCTTTGCATTTGGAGCAGTTTCTGTTGGGAAGGTGTAGGGTAAAATAATGCTTCTGTATTGCAACAGGTTTAGCAATCTGTTGCTGAATCTTCAATGCTGTATCTAATGTAATTTGGCTTCAGGTTCTACTTAATTTCAGTATGAAATCAGACTTATCACCCAGCCATAAACAATAATGCCCAATACTGAGTGGTTCATGCTGTACTGTACTCACTGGTAGAGAAACTGTCTTGCTTCAACATTATCAGCGTTGCCAATCATACAGACTGCTGCAAAAGAGCTCTGGTGATGCTTTTTCCACTGCTTGGATAAATCCTTTATCCACCCCAATTACAAGTCATTTGTTGGCACTCATCCTTGCAAGGAAGCTGGGTTGCCTTACCATGCCAGTAGGCAATTATTTTGATATAAAGTATACACACAAATCAAGGTACAGACAGCATGGAATCAACAAACCAGCCATGCAGATAAAACCGCTTCTACCAACTACTCCATACACTCCTCTATCGCTTCTCGGGTGTACATCGCATTTTCCGATACCAGGCTGTCTGCAAACCCAGAACCGAGGGGGGAATAACTCCCATGGAATGATAGCTCTGGCTCTTCACCATTCCCCTCAAACGGAGAGCCCGGCAACAGACTGGCAACGGCATAGTGGTGCTGTTCCTGCTGCTGTTCGACAGATCTTCCAAGTTTCGCGCTGTTGTCAAAATGGAAAGGATGAGAAGCGCTGGAGGGAAATCCAGCATTCGAGATTGTGGGGGATTGCAGCAGCAATTTAGAGGGAGAGGTGCCAGTGGCGCTGGTTGCAGCATATGCCACGTGGGCTGGCACAGCAGGCGGAGGGAGGGTGACGTTAGCATCCCTCTCCAGCCAATCATACCCCGAAACAGCAGAATCAACAGCAGAGTTTGAAAAAGAACCTGAAGGGGAGGAACCCTGCGGGAGCATGAAAGGCATTCCCGAGACTTCAGTGGGAGGGGAGAGAGGGGTGGGTGACCACTTGTTGGTGAGGGCTCCGGGGGCTTTAAGAGACGGGGAGAGAGTGGCGGGGGAGGGGAGCCACGGCAGCCATGGCTTGTCGTCCGGGCTCCTGCAGAGGTTGGTTGTCCTTGTCCCGGCGCTTTCCGGGTCGACCTCCTGCTGCTGCTGCAGGAGGTGCTGGGTGTTAAGGCGGGATGAGCCCCACATTTCCCACTGCGCTGCTGCTGCACCCCCACTTGCTCGCTGCTGCTGCTGAAGCTGCTGCTGCTGCTGCTGCTGCTGCTGCTGGTAATGGTGCTGCTGCTCTTGCTGGTTGTGGTGATCAAGGTACTGCCGGAGCTGCTGCTGCTGCCATGGCTGCACGTGCGGGGGAGTAACGGGTGAGGGGAGAGTGCGCAAGGATAGGGAGGGGGAGAGAGAAGAAGAAGGAGAGAGAGGGGGAAGGGAGGAGGTGGGAACAACGGGAGAGGCATAAGAGGATGGCAGGGTTGAAGCGACGCTTGCTTCTTTCTGTCCAACAATGTAGCCGCCGCTGCCGCTGCTGCTCCTGCTGACTGCGTTGCTGCTGCTGTCAGTTCCGCTGCCGCCGCCACTGCAGCTGCTGCTGCTGCTTTCCCACCCGTTCGTCTCGCTGGTCTCTGAAGAAGCCTTGGACTGGCGGAATTGGCGGGCAGAAGGCTTGGAAATATAGTCACTCTCGCCACTGTCACCCTCGCTTGTCGCACCCTCGTTTCCTGCCGCCACGAGCATGAGCTGATCAATCAACTGCGACAGCTCAGGTGGCGACAATTTGGTCAACTGAGTCAACTGCGTCAACTGCGCCAGCTGCTGCCCCTCACTCTTCCGAGCATTAGCGGTCAAATTCTGCTGCTTCAGCTCCACGTCAGCTTGCGCAGACGTGGCTTCAGCGTCTGACGCGGATTCTCCCTGGCGCGCGTCTGACGTGGCACGCTCGCGCCTCGCCCGTCGCTGCTTCCTGAAAGCCCTCTTCCGGGAGCGCTCCTTCTCCGAAATTTCCTTCTCCTCAAGGAAGCCGTCAATCAGCTCCGGAACCTCTGAAACTTCCGGAATTTCCACCGTCTGCTGCGCTGCCACGTCACTCTGCGAGTCAGCCGCCCCGCTCTGCTCAGTCGTTTCGTTTTCCTCTCTTTCTTCGTTAGTTTCACATCCATTGTGAACTTGCGACTCGAATTCAGCTTTTGCGCCTCTGCCGCGGCCGGCCTTGCAAAGCCGCGCTCCCTTCTTCCCCTTCCCGCCGCGCTTCCGCGTCCTTTCTCCCGCCTCCCTTGTGCACACATCCGCCGTTCCTTCCGCAAAAGCGGAATCGGAGATGGAAGGTGAGCCGGAATCCGCAATTAAATGCCGCTGGATCCGCATCCGCGATACAAGGAGATCCCATGCTGACGCTAGCATCCACACGGAGAAACGAGCGCCGACGGCCGGGATTTGGATGCACGTGATGGCAAGAGCCTTGGTAGTCATGGCAGCGCGCCCCGCTGTGGCAGCGGCTGTAGCCGCTACAGAACTCGTCACAGTCGTTACTGTAGTTGTTACCGTTACTCTTGCGGACACCATGGGCTGCCAGCCCGAGCGAGTGACGGCGCTTCTTGCGGAACTGAGGCCGTTTCGCACGCCTTGCGAAGCGAACGTTGCTTTCTCGCAGGCGAGTTTTCGCAAACACAAAAGGTTTTCGCCGAAGCTTTGCGTCATGCTTCTTCTGGTAACCACCTCGTCTTCGCCACATGATGAGTGCCCCGCCTCAGTTGCTGCACACGACTTGGCAGTCACCATCTCCGTGCGAGATTTTCGCAAATCCCCAGCATCGCTGCAGCTGCTGCGCGTTCTCCGCGCCTCAACCGCCTGCAGCATGCGGCGCTTGCGGTTAAAACTCTCGCGCTTCGCCTGTATCGTCTGCAGGCCGGGGAGGTAACACGTGTACCACACGAGCGCGATCGCTTGCGCGACGAGCATCGGCGGGGAGGTGAGATCGATGAGCGATCCGACGGGGAGCAGCAGCAGCGGCACGCCGAAGCTGGCGAGGACGAGGATGAAGCGCGGGATGAAGAAGAGGAATTTGACGAGGAAGTCGAGGAGCGCGCACGCGACGCAGATGCTGACGGTGCGGCCGCGGTAGGTGACGGAGAAGACGATTGAGTGCTGCCGCGAGCAGAGATTCGCGCGGCTGGAAGATGACGTGGATGTGGTGATGATGGAGCGCGGTGGGTCTTGCGATGATGTGACGGAGGAGGATAACTGTGAAGGCGCCATTGGAACTAGTTAATTTCCGAGAAATTCTCGGGAACAGTTTTAAGAACAGCTGTAGTAGGAATACTTTGGAAAGAGTAGTTGCTAAAAACGATGGCGATTTAGAGGAAAGAGTCGCTGGGAGGACTAGACTGCTCTGCTCTAACAAATACGAGCCGATGGTGGAAAGCCGAATTCTGGGATGGATCGACGGGACGAAACCCTTGCTCTAGAATTGAACGGAGAGCAGTCTTTAGTACCCAGAATGATGGGAACGCGTTAGTCTGCTGAATGCGAGGTGACGTAAACAAGGAAGCAAGGTGCTAGGCCCCAAGGAACTTGTCCGTGAGAGGGAGATTCGTCCATGTGGAACGCGATGAGCGTTTGACGAGCGGCATTCACGGAGCAAGCTCGAAGGACTACCTAGGGAATGGATGAGGGAGAGGATGGTGGTGCGCGGATGGAATTATTGAAGTGATAAATACAGTAAGCGGGTTTATGGTACGGTTATGCGTGGTTTGCTCAGGCTGGTATGGTATCGAACGCGTTGATATTGCTGGGGGAAGGATAGGCGCAATGCTTGCCTAATGCGAGGAGGGGCGAATTTGCTCCGCCGCGCGCGCGATCCGCAATGCGAGGTGTGGTGCTGGCTGGGAAGTCTTCCCCTCTTCCCAGATCCACGCTAACCTGAACCTCTGCTGGATTATGGCGCAGGAGCCCCTCGTGCATGGTGCATGCGCTCGTGCGCGCAGTTGTGGAGCAGCCGAAGTGGAGGCGAACTTTCTGGGGCTGTTCGCCAGCACAAGCAAGCAAGCAGTAATTGCACTTGCGCTTGAGGAGGATTTCGTCCCCCCCTCTACTTCCCCCTCCCTGCGTCCCTCCCTCTTCCCACACACAGAAGAGTCAAGAGCTGAGGTTGTGGGGGGGAGACATCGGGGGAAGAACACAACGGTTGTGATCCAAGCCGGTTTGTTCAACGGCTGTGATCCTCCATGCGGATTATTTTTTCCGATTGGACTACAGCACACACGTTTGTACACTGCAATAATGCAATCCGAGTTTTTCCAGTGGGCAACGGACTGACAAATCCTGCACCGAAGGTCAAATTAAATTGTTTCCGCACACATCACCCAACTGACGCGTTCAAATCGAACTTCTTCGTTGTCTCCGCCACAAGCGGTAGCCCCACACACCTGCACCTGCAGGCGGAGACAAAGGAGCTTGACTCCGACACGGACCAGTCACAGGGCAGAGCTTGGAACTGAGGCGGACGGTTCAAACTTCGATTCGAACGCGTTCGCCCGTCTCGGTTGGACGGCGTGACGTCCGCCGACCTTGGGTTCCGCAACACACAGCTGTGGGAGGGGGAAGGGGGATGACAATAATTGGAGTGGGGAGAATATATTGATGATGAGATAGCATAAAATATACACCGAGGGTGTAGCAAATGTAAAGTCATCCACAGCCCATGTCCTTGTTGCGATTAACTCAACGGCGAGAACTCGACTCCTCCAGGACGCCACACACCACCTCTCCAACTTTGAGAATTTGGCGCTCATTATGTCCGAATTTTTGTATTTCATCTTGACCCATCGTCACATCTGCTGCAATCCTTCGTCTCGTCCCTCGAACCAAACCGCGTACTATAATCGAACGCCACGATGAACGGCACAGGCACCACGGGCGCGGGATTGCAGAGGAAGTCGACGGGGAACGAGATGAGCGAGAAGCTGCTGCAGGGATGGGCGATGCTCGCCATGCACTGCCCCGTCTGCTTCAACCCCATCCTCCGGAGCAGGTGCCGCTCCATCCTCGATAAACGTCAGGTTTCACACGCGTGATGTACAGTTAAAGTGACATTTATTCCGAAGGCTTTCGACCTCTTACAATCTCCCCACTAGTTCATCTCGCGAATCCCTCCGCCCTCCCGTTTCTTCCCGTTTCTTCCACTCATTCCCGCGCACCACACCCCCCACCTTTTCTGTCACCCCGAGGGCTCTGAGGGCCCTAAACCCCTTGTCAACCCCGAACCCCTCATACTACTTCCTCTTAAACCCTCTCCCTGGCTGTGAAACCCTCAGGGCGGGAGAGAAACGGTGCGTCGTTTGGGACTTTTGAGTCGACTCAAAAGTCTCCTCTTAAACCCTCTCCCCGGCTGTGAAACCCTCAGGGCGGGAGAGAAACGGTGCGTCGTTTGTGATCTGCCCGTTATAGAGGAAGCCGATGCGCCGCCCCAGATGACGTCAGCAGCGCCACAAGAGCCAGCTCAGCAGCAGCAGGGAGGAAGGGTCCAGGAAGGTGCGGCAGGCTGGGAGAAGGAAGGAGGAAAAGGGGAGGGAAGCAGAGGTCGGAAGGAAGGCGGGGTGGAGAGGGCAAGTGAGGACGGGCTTGTATCGAAGACGCCATTAGAGAGGATAACGGGAGGTCAACAAAAAAATCATAGACAAGATGTGCCGGGCATCGGCACTGTACCTGCTGCAACGCCTAGCACGGCAGCAGCAGCAGCAGCAGCAGCAGCAGCTGCCACTGCTACTGCCACTCCCTCAGCCGCTCCTGCAGCTGCTGCTGCTGGATTGGCCAATGCCCCTGCCGCTTCCCTCCTGCCTGCCTCAGCCGTTTCCCCCGCCTCTGTGCCTGTCCCTGGCACATTGGCCCAGCCGTCGGCCCCCTTACCAGGCGCACCGTCCTCCTCCTCACCAGACATGTCTGTGTCCACTGTGAATGCAGCCGCTAACGATGCCCTTATTGGTGCTCTGCGGGCTGTTGTCCACCAATTGCAGGTGAGCACGTGTTGCCTGCCTGCCAATCAGAAACGGGCTGGCAGATGATTGCTCTCCTCCCGCCAATCACAGTTGAGCGCTGCTTCCCATCCCTGTGTGCCGCTACTCTTGACTGCACTGTTATTCCTGAGATATATATGTGCAAGTATATATATGTATATATATGTATGTATTGATGTATGTATTTATATATATATGTGAAGTCAATCATCCTGCGCTGCTGCCTGGTCTGGTGTTACTTGGCTTTGTTGCAATGGTTGCCTGCTAACGAGCCCCTCCCACTTGCTCTGACTCTGCCCCTTCCAGAGAGCGCAAAGGGCCCTAGAGTGCACCTCCGACCTACAGCAAACGCAACAGGTGGGTATTCCTGCTAAGTCACCAGGTTGGTCTGCTGAGTCACCAGGTTGGTCTGCTGAGTCACCAGGTTGGTCTGCTGTGTCACCAGCTGGGCATGCTGACCCGCCATGCCCGTATGCCCGTAACTTATGCCATCGGAAAATGCTAGTTCCCTCACAACCCAACCCCTCGCCCCACTCCCCCCTTCACCCCCCTCCACTCCCCTCCGCTCTCACCATCCCCCCATCAACCCCCCCCCTTTCTCCGCCTCACTCCAGCCTCACTCTCCGCCAGCACCCGCCCAGTCCCCCATCCCCATCATCTCCTCATGTCATCTCATGAAGACAGCCACTTAAAGATCGTCTCATGTCTCGCGTTTGAGGGAGCGCATAAGAACACGGGCTCCTCATGGTGATCACATTAGAGTGTGCGTGGGGCATTGAAAGAGACTAGTGGGTCAGGTTACTCGAACCGTATCCTGCCTCGCCTCCTCCCCTTACCTCACCATCTCCCACCCTTGCTCTCCTGCCCTCAGCTGCTGGTCATCTTAGTCAGCTGCTGCTCATCTTAGTCAGCTGCTGCTCATCTTAGTCAGCTGCTGCTCATCTTAGTCAGCTGCTGCTCATCTTAGTCAGCTGCTGCTCATCTTAGTCAGCTGCTGCTCATCTTAGTCAGCTGCTGCTCATCTTAGTCAGCTGCTGCTCATCTTAGTCAGCTGCTGCTCATCTTAGTCAGCTGCTGGTCATCTTAGTCAGCTGCTGCTCATCTTAGTCAGCTGCTGGTCATCTTAGTCAGCTGCTGGTCATCATCTCAGAGTGCGCACGTGCAGTCAAGGAGTATCGTGATCACTTTCAACTTCTCCTTCCTCACCCCCTTCCTCTTCCCCCACCCCCTTCCTCGTCCCCCACCCCCTACCCCTTCCCCCACCCCTTTCCTCTTCCCCCCCACCTTCTCCCCCCCCCCCTGCGCCCCCATGCCCTCAGCTGCTGGTCATCATCTCAGAGTGCGCACGGGCGATCAAGGAAATCCAGCCGTTGGTTAGACCAGTGTGATGTGGTGATACAATCACCCGAGCCTGCTGCAAACTCCCATTTTTCTGTACATCTCTTGTAATGCATCAGTATAAATGATGCTTAGCAGAATCATATACCACACCATTGACATATACCAAGTTCTACAGTACAGCGCTACAGAAGAGATGAACTGTAATGCACTTGAAGTGAGGACGACACCATTTGATATACACAAGGAAACAAAATTTCCCAATCAGATAAGCTAATCCGTATCCTCCGCTCGGGTTTGTGGAGTTTTATACTGTACGGTAAAAAAATCGCTTGTTCAACACGAGCTACAGTAGATGTATCCCCTGCGCTACAGTAGAAGCCGCCCCCCTTTGAGCCCTCTTGCCCTCCACTTTGTACATCTCTTTCGTCTGCTTCTTGGTCTCTCTCGCCGCCCGCTTCTGAGCCTTCACTGCTTCCTGCAGGTGTGACAGAGAGAGGTTGGACGCGGTGGAAAGAGGTTCAGTGAGGAAAAAGGACAGTGGGAGGAAGAGGAGGAACGGCATCGGCGGATGGGCAGAAGCACCAACACCACAACCAAGCCAAGCACCAGCTGTGCCCTGAGCAAGCCAAGCACCAGCTGCGCCCTGAGCAAGCCAAGCACCAGCTGTGCCCTGAGCAAGCCAAGCACCAGCTGTGCCCTGAGCAAGCCAAGCACCAGCTGTGCCCTGAGCAAGCCAAGCACCAGCTGTGCCCTGAGCAAGCCAAGCACCAGCTGTGCCCTGAGCAAGCCAAGCACCAGCTGTGCCTGAGCAAGCCAAGCACCAGCTGTGCCCTGAGCAAGCCAAGCACCAGCTGTGCCCTGAGCAAGCCAAGCACCAGCTGTGCCCTGAGCAAGCCAAGCACCAGCTGTGCCCTGAGCAAGGCAAGCACCAGCTGTGCCCTGAGCAAGGCAAGCACCCCGTGGCCTTGGGCAATGAAACCCCGTGGACTCGCATACCTCATCATTTCAACATCCCGTACCTGTTGATAGGTGTGCGATCACACACTCCATTCCCTCATCATTCCCACACTCCATCCCTCATCATTCCCACACTCCATCCCTCATCCTTCCCACACTCCATCCCTCATCATTCCCACACTCCATCCCTCATCATTCCCACACTCCATCCCTCAACGTTCCCACACTCCATCCCTCATCGTTCCCACACTCCATCCCTCATCCTACCCACACTCCATCCCTCATCCCTCCCACACTCCATCCCTAATCCTTCCCACACTCCATCCCTCATCCTTCCCACACTCCATCCCTCATCCTTCCCACACTCCATCCCTCAGCATCCATCGACCGTACACCACAGCAACCACTACCATACGAGCTTTCTTCTCTTCTGGCGTCTCCTTGTCCTTCCCTCCCTTGCACTTCACACCACAACTGTACCTTGCACCACCGCATCAAACCTTTCTCCACAGCACCCCATACCTTGCGTGCTTTCTTTTCCTCGGGAGTCTCCTTGTCCTTCCCTCTCGGCCGCACAAACACAACACCCCCTGCTGCCCCCGCCCCTTCCTCATCCTCCCCAATCCCCTCCAACCCACCCCCCTTGCCACTCCCTCTCCCCTCCTCCCCGTCCCTCCCCTCTCTTCCCACTCTCCCCGGCACAAACCCAGCCGGCAGCTGCGCTTTCCCCTTCAGTCTAATCTCCTCCACCCCAATCCTCCCACCAGCTCCCCCTACACCTCCCCCCCCTTCTGCCGCCGCCTCTCCCGCTCTGCTCCCCTTTCTGCGGGTTTTCACAGGAGCTGAGATCCGTGCAGGGTGGTTGTCGAGGTTAGAGTAGGTCGACACTATCGACTCGCAGTCCCACTTGCCCCTCTCCCTCTCCTCCTCCTCCTCCGATATATATTCCTCCTCTTCCTCCTCCTCCTCCTCCTCCTCCTCTTCCTCCTCTTCCTCCTGCTCCTCGTTTTTCGTGTCCGCTCCCTTACCACCCCTCTCTGGTTCACCAGGGACAATAGGAACAGCCATAATTTCTTCCTTCTGTCCATCCTCTTCACCCTTCCTATCCCTCTCATACACCTCCTCTGTTCCTCCACTCTCCCTTTTCCTCTCGCTTTCCCCCTTTCCCCCGGCCTCCCCTTTTCCCCCGCTTTCCCCCTTCCCCCCGCCCTCCCCCTTCCCCATCCGCACAACCGCGCCCCCCTTCCGCAGCTCAAGCAGGCTCTCCCGCCGGGAAGCTTCCAGAAAGTCGTCCAGCACGTTACTGAACATGGAGATATCAGCATGGCCAGCCGCCCCCCCGCCGCCCCGGTGGTCCCCGTCCTCATCATCCGAGAAGTCGTCCACGTCAGCATCCGCGTATTCCCGCTCAGCCAGCTGGAGGCGTGAGTCAGCAGCAGGGCAGAGGGATGATGACAAAAAGGGGGACAATGCAGGGTTTAAGGCTCGATTTGGACATGTGCAAATTCTCTAAGGACAATCTACGATTCTCCTCCCAGCACCCCTCAGCACCTCTCAGCATGGCCTAGCACCGCTCAGCACCACTCACCAGCATCACTTGCTCTTCCAGCGCTCTCAAATTCTCCTCAGCCTGGGCGCGGCTCTTAGCCTCCTCTTCCGCCCTCCGCCGCGCCTCCTCCCCCCCCACCGCCGCCTCCCGCCGCCGCGCCTCCGCATCCTTAACACCTTTAACCCCCAAACCCTCAACCCCGCTTGCAAGGCTTTCCGCTCCTGGCGCAATGACCACGTCCCCTACCGCTCCCACGCCCGCATCTTCTTCCGCCAACCTCCCACCTTCCCCTTCCCCCGCTGCCTCGTTCCCCCTACCTTCCGCCTGTTCCGCCTCTTCCGCCTCGTCCGCCTCCTCTTCCTCCTCCTCCTCTTCCCCCCCTGCCGTCGCCAGCAGCACAAAGTCATCTTCTAGCTCCCCGTAAGCCTCTTCCCCCTCCTCCCCTTCCCCCGCTTCCCCCTCTCCGCCATCCCCTTCCAGCAGAGCTAAAACCTCCGGATCGAGCCCTGAGACGCCCAGATAATTCGCGCTGCCCTCCCCGCCAGCGGCTTCCCCCGCTTGCGCTCCCGCGAAAGCCGCCGCTGCGCTTTGAGCTACGCGGGCTGGCGGCGCGGCGGCGGCGAATCCGCGCTTCGGCCGAATCTCCTTGATGACGGATGAGATCTTAGCCACGACCTCCAGGTCAGCAACCGGCGCGTCGGCGGCTGCTGTGGTGGCAGCTGACGTGTCTGGCCGGACGGTAAGGCGCGTGGCTTTGTAGATCTGCAGTGGGCAAATGCATATCAATAACGGGGATGAATATCCATTAGCTGGTTTTTGAGAATTCTAAAAAATCAGATCATATCAATAACGGGGATGAATATTCTTTATGCATGTAAAGAACGGCGGCGGTTTAGTGCCGCGCGCGGGGACTCGAAGCTGACAGGCGGAAAGCGTGGCGGATGGCACGAGCGGGCAGTGGACAGCGCGGCAGCGGGGAAATAACAGTCGCACCTGCACGTCGTCCGGCAGTGCGACTTTAGAGGCGCCTCGAAAGTCGTAACAGGGTACACTACCACGTGAATTTGTGACGTGATAATAAAAGTCGTAACAGGGTACACTACCACGTGAATTTGTGTAGGTATCACGAAAATAACAGTCGCACCTTGACGTCGTCGGGCAGTGCGGCGGGGGGAGCCTCGGCGGAAACAAACGACGCGAATGTCCTCGTCTGCCCGATCACCCGAAGGTGCTGCGTGTAGTCGTAACCGTCGTCGGGTAACCCTAACTCGATAATTTCGCGCCGAGCGCTCTCGGAAAGTTTTTTCTTGCCCTGCCCGCCGGCCACGCTCCCTCCTCCCATCACGCTCCCGCCATCCCACCCTGGCGGCCCGCCCAACCCCAGGCCCGCCCATAAGTCGCGCCCTCTCCCCCCACCGCGCATCGTGCTCGCGCGCGATCGTCCTCCGACAGACGCCGCGTCGTCGCCATCAGTCGCGCGTGCGACGGCGTGCGATTGCGCTCGGGACCTCCTGCTCCCGGCGACGCTTCGCCCCTCCCTTTCCCCTTCCTCCCCCTCCTCCTCTTCCTCCTCCTCTTCCCATTCCTCGCCGCTATAATCCTCCGCGTTTTCCGGGATTGGCGGCTGGTAGTCGTCGGAGAATCCCGGCACGTGGTTGCTGCCGGCGTCGGTGCGCACGAAGACGCGCTCGCCAGGCGCGTCGGGGTCGTTCGACTCGCGGTACATGAGCGTGAACGACGCCGCATTCTTCTTGTCCACGAACTTCTTCTTGCGACCCATCGCTCCTGCGAAAAAGCGTGCGACGACGTACGCGACGAAAGCGACGAAAGAAAGAGAACGGAGAGGCGATCAGAGTGAGTCACGCAGGTGGAGCAGCAGTCGAGATGAGTGGCTGTAATGCGGATTTCTAGGTTGATTTCAAGGTGCTTGCATTCCACTTTCCGATGGGGCTGGGCGGAGCGGAAGAGTGGGAGGGTTGCACCCCTCGCGTTCATTGACGAGTAGTGTGGAATATGCGAACGCAGGGGGTTTAGAATAGAAGACAAAGTAATTTCGCGAATTCAGGGTTACCAGCCACGAAACTGGATGGTAACTCCTTGGGATTTCTAGCTGTCGGGAGAGAGTAAGGGCTCGGTGGATATCCACATTTGGGAGATTCTTGGCCCCTTAGCGAAACAAATCGTACACCGTCTCGCGAACTCCAACATTTCCAACCACTCCCGAACCGAAGTCCCTCGTTGACATTTTTCATTTCGCTAAACCCTTTTCGCAAAGAACCGAGATCCCTCTCATGCTTTGGGTCTTCGATCGCCATATATCCACCCCCATAACCTACCTCCCCTCCTTTTTCGCTCCTTAGCTTTCTGCTTTCGCTGCTCCCCGCCCCTCGCGGCACCGCGACCTCTGTTGTCTGGTTAAAGCGGTAGCTCCGTCCAGCTACCCACCTTGTCGGCCGCTCCGGCGCGACTTGGGCCTATCTGGACTTCTCAGGTCCCATACATACCTCCATTTTCATCGCTAGATTTGTAGCAAAACAAGCGTATTTTTTTAGCCCGAAAGTAGTAAACGCAAAGCAAGCTAGCAGCCATGGGTTTCAAGGGGACTAAGGCCGAGAAGAAGCAGGCGTACGACAAGAAGGTGTCGCTGATGCTGGAGGAGTTCTCCAAGGCGCTGATCTGCAAGGCGGACAACGTGGGGTCGAAGCAGATGCAGAACATCCGCGCCGGGCTGCGCCCCGACTCGGTGGTGCTCATGGGCAAGAACACGCTGCTCAAGCGCACCATCCGCATGTACTGCGAGCGCACCGGCAACACCGCGTGGAACGGGCTGCTGCCGCTCCTCGTGGTGAGTGTTGTTCCCTTGTCCCCTCGTCCCCTTGTCCCCTGGCACCTGGCACCGGAAACCCTAAGGCGCTGGAGGAGTTCCCAAGGCGCTGATCTGCAAGGCGTCTAGTTTTGAGGCGCCTCAAAACTAGGAAAGCCTAATCTTGGCTGGAGGAGTTCTCTAAGGCGCTGAACTGCAAGGCGGACAACGTGGTAACGTTCTGCATCTGAAATGAGGGTGTTATTGAGACGTCTCTAAAACATTCTCAAATACACCCTCATTTCACAAGGCGGTGATCTGCAAGGCGGACAACGTGGTAACGTTCTGCATCTGTATCTCTTCCCCTCACCCGTACCCCATTCGTACTGTTTCATATCTCCCCCCTAACCGTACCATGTCATCTCTTCCTCTCACCTGTATACCGTGTCATCTCTCCTCATCGGCTTGTCATCTTACCGTGCCATCTCCCCTCCCCAACCGTACCGTGTCATCTCCCCTCCCCAACCGTACCGCGTCATCTCAGGGCAACGTGGGGCTCATCTTCACCAAGGGCGACCTCAAGGAGGTCCGCGAGGAGATCGGCAAGTACAAGGTGCGATTTAAAGCGGTTTTACCCGGTTACGCTTGGGAAGTACAAGGTACGATGCGATGGGATTTGGAGCGATCTTAACCGGTTATTGTCGTTCAGCATAAAGTGCGTTGCAATGGAATTAGGAGCGGTTCTAATCGTTTATGGGTAGGCGGGATTCCGAGGTAACCTGGGAAATCCGTCGCGGTTGGGGTTAGAACGACGGAGGGCTGGTGTACAGGGGGCCATTCGAGGCCCCGATCATATCGTTGTTGCGGTTGTGGTTGGGATTGTGGCGGAGTCGAATTTTAGGGCAAGAAAGCTTCAAGTCATGGGAGTGGAGGTGAGTAGGTGAGTACAAGGTGTTAAGAGGAGTTAGATGCGCTGGGATTCGGATGTCAAGCGTATATCTACCCCCATCGTGTAGTTGAATGAACTGTTGTTTTTACTTATCCTAAATCTTGCTTTTATTTTGCGTTGCCCTAAAGAGCCCTTTTCCCTTACCTCCTAAAATCCTCCCGCCAATCAGGTCGGCGCGCCTGCGCGTGTGGGTCTGGTTGCGCCCATCGACGTGGTGGTGCCACCTGGCAACACGGGACTGGATCCCTCGCAGACTAACTTCTTCCAGGTGAGCTCTCGAAGCCGCGAACCCATGGCGTGGCGTGGTTTGTTTGTTTCCGGCTGCCTGTTTCAAGGCGACCATGCTTCGTCGCATGGAATTTGTCGCATGGTCTCTGTCGCATGGTCTCTGTCGCATGATCTCTGTCGCATGGTCTCTGTTGCATGGTCTCTGTCGCATGGTCTCTGTCGCATGGTCTCTGTCGCATGGTCTCTGTCGCATGGTCTCTGTTGCATGGTCTCTGTCGCATGGTCTCTGTCGCATGGTCTCTGTCGCATGGTCTCTGTCGCATGGTCTCTGTCGCATGGTCTCTGTCGCATGGTCTCTGTCGCATGGTTTCTGTCGCATGGTCTCTGTCGCATGGTCTCTGTCGCATGGTCTCTGTTGCATGGTCTCTGTTGCATGGTCTCTGTTGCATGGTCTCTGTTGCATAGTCTCTGTCGCATGGTCTCTGTCGCATGGTCTCTGTCGCATGGTCTTAGTCTCATGGTCTCTATCACATTCCCTGTTCCATCGTCCTAACCTCCCCTCCCTCCCTTGCGCCGTTCATTCACCTCCCTTTTCCTCCCCAGGTGCTCAACATCCCCACCAAGATTAACAAGGGAACGGTCGAAATTGTCGCCCCCGTGGAGCTGATCCGCGCGGGCGAGAAGGTCGGCTCGTCCGAGGCCGCGCTGCTGGCGAAGCTGGGTATCCGCCCCTTCTCGTACGGGCTGGTTGTGGACCAGGTCAGTGACTGTAACGGGCGTGAGTTTACGAGGTTTAGAGGGGAGTGTGTTCGAGCGTGGGGATCTAGGCAGCCCGCGCCTTGCCTCTCGCACACGAGAGGCTGTGCTGCTGTCGAAGCTGGTCATCCGCCCCTTCTCGTACGGGCTGGTTGTTGACCAGGCCAGTGATTGTAACGAGGGGAACGATTTACCATGTGACTATAAGCGTCCCTTATTCTAGAGAAGGTCGGTTTGTCCGAGGCTGCGCTGCTGGCGAAGCTGGGCATCCGGCCGTTCTTGTACGGGCTCGTCGTCATCCAGGTGAGTGACTGAAACGGGCAAGTCTGTGCGCGTGAGAATGGCTGGTAGTCAGGGTCTAGGGTTTGGGGTTCCCCATTCACACCAGAGGCCGTGCTGCTGGCAAAGCGGGGCATCCGCCTGTTCTTGTACGGGCTCGTCGTCGACCAGGTGAGTGATTGTAACGGGGGGGAAGGTGAGTGATTGTAATGGTCGCGAAGGTGAGTGATTGTAACGGGGGGGACCGTGAGCGAGAGTGGGTACAACGGGCGTGAGTGTGCGGATGAGAATGGCCGTTGGCTACGAGCGTGCTTTTCCCTGCCACACCAGCGGTCGAACAGCAAAACCCTGAACTCGAAACCATGTTGTATCCCTACGTATCCCTTTCGCCTCCCTCTGCCAGGTGTTTGACGACGGGTCCACCTTCCATCCCTCGGTCCTGGACATGTCAGAGGACGACCTGCTGGGCCACTTCGCCTCGGGTGTCGCCAACGTGGCGGCCATCTCCCTCGGCGCCGACTACCCCACGCTCGCCGCCTGCTGCTGCTGGCTGTGGTGTCACACTCTCACTCATCCTCCCCTCTCTTTCCCATCCTCGCTCTCTTCTTTCCTTATTGGAATTTCTTCTTGTTTACCCTTCGTTTTCAGGTGTTTGATGACGGGTCCACCTTCCACCCCTCGGTCCTGGACATGTCAGAGGACGACCTGCTGGGCCACTTCGCCTCGGGTGTGGCCAACGTGGCAGCCATCTCCCTCGGCGCCGACTACCCCACGCTCGCTGCCGTGCCCCACGTGTTTGCCAACTCGTACAAGAACGTCATTGCTATCGCCCTTGCTCTTGACGACTACTCCTTCCCCCTGGCCGACAAGGTCAAGGAGATCCTCGCGGTGAGTGCTTCACTCCCTCCTTTTTCGCCGACTACTTGTCCCCACGCTCGCCCCCCCGCTCGCCCCCCCGCTCGCTCCCCCGCTCGCCCCCCCGCTCGCTCCCCCGCTCGCCCCCCCGCTAGCTCCCCCGCTCGCTCCCCCGCTCGCCCCCCCGCTCGCTCCCCCGCTCGCCCCCCCGCTCGCTCCCCCGCTCGCCCCCCCGCTCGCTCCCCCGCTCGCCCCCCCGCTCGCTCCCCCGCTCGCCCCCCCCGCTCGCTCCCCCGCTCGCTCCCCCGCTCGCTCCCCCGCTCGCTCCCCCGCTCGCTCCCCCGCTCGCTCCCCCGCTCGCTCCCCCGCTCGCTCCCCCGCTCGCTCCCCCGCTCGCTCCCCCGCTCGCCCCCCCCGCTCGCCCCCCCGCTCGCCCCCCCGCTCGCCCCCCCGCTCGCTCCCCCGCTCGCCCCCCCGCTCGCTCCCCCGCTCGCTCCCCCGCTCGCTCCCCCGCTCGCTCCCCCGCTCGCTCCCCCGCTCGCTCCCCCGCTCGCTCCCCCGCTCGCCCCTCCGCTCGCTCCCCCTCTCGCCCCCCCGCTCGCTCTCCTGCTCGCCCCCCCCGCTGGCCCCCCCGCTCGCTCCCCCGCTCGCCCCCCCGCTCGCTCCCCCGCTCGCCCCCCCGCTCGCCCCCCCGCTCGCTCCCCCGCTCGCTCCCCCGCTCGCTCCCCCGCTCGCTCCCCCGCTCGCCCCCCCGCTCGCTCCCCCTCTCGCCCCCCCGCTCGCTCCCCTGCTCGCCCCCCCCGCTGGCCCCCCCGCTCGCTCCCCCCGCGCCCTTAAGTCGCTCAGTCCCTCCCTAACCTTCCCTGCACATCCCAACCCACTTGTGAATTTGAACTCTCCTTCCAGGATC